CATAGGAAGGATGGGGAAAAAAGAAAAGGGAAGAAGGCAGAGGTAGCGCATAGCATTTCTAAGAACGCTCGTGCTGGCGCATCTTCATTATCCAACCCGAAGGAGCCCTGAGGGCATTCCAGTGGAACTGCGCTTCGACCCGATCAATTAGCGTACACAGGCTTCGTGATCTCGTGAGCTGAAACGAGCAAAGGCCGCGCAGATACACGTGCCGCGATGCGCTTTCTGCTTATGAAAGTAGGTTGAACGCCTCGTCGCGGGTCGCCTCCTCTTCCCAAACGGCTGAAACCGACCGCACGAAACCCGCGGACATTTATACGCGCCCGCGCATTGTTCTCGCATCCAGAAAAAGCGGATAAATCGCGCGGGTATGCCTATTGTTATGGGAATTCCGATAAGCGTCCGATATGCATCCGCGCTGCGCTTCGAGCGCGGACGTTGCATTATTCAATATGGGACGTTGTCCGTAAAATGAACGGTGACAGACCGGTGTTCAATAATGATGATTTATGCATATTGATTTTAGGACGCCGAACCGCTCAACCGCAAGTGACACTTCGAAGAATATTACGGTGAAATCTCGTTATAACGAATTCTGTGAAGTGGGATTTATCAAATTAAAAATTATGTTATGTCATATTAGTTAATTTATCTAAACACCACGCAGTGTCATACATTCTTTTCTGTTGTATCATTCGCGTATGCTCGTACATCCGTACACGGCGTTGGTGAGTCAGGAAAGTAAAATCGACGATAGGCAAATGCGTGATCACCGATTTAGACCAATAGGCCAGTTTAATAAAATGAGTCAGGATTCCTTGAAGTATCATACGCAAAAGTAATTTTCCTTTCCTGCTTGACTTCCGCCAAATCATTTTTTTTTTTTTAGATACGCGCACTCGACGCTAGTGAGTCGGGAAAACGAAAATCGACGACAGGAAAATCCGCGATCGTCGATTTAGATCGATGGGTAAGTTTAATAAAATGAGTCAGGGTTCCTTGAAGTATCATACGATGCGTATACTTATTTAACGCGCTCGGACGGTACGCATCGTAATGCGAATCATGCGCCGCGTCGCGCGCTGGTGACAAGAGGCAGTCATAAAGAACGTCCTCGTGCCACATACTTCGAAGAGAAAACGTATTTTCATTTGCGATAATCCGCGCAGCCTGTGGCGAGACGCGAAATAACAATGATTATGGATTCACTATTAATTATTCAGTAATGAATAAATATTCGGCTCGTCCAACATTTTCGAAAACTCTCTCCACGAAATTTTATCATGATCGTAATGAGATATTCCTTCATTTAGATAAGAAGCACATATTGAACGTCAAACTGAAAGTGTACAAATTTATTCATCAAAGTTTTACGACACGTTATCTAATCGACTCCAATTAAAAAAATCTATTGTGACGTCGGCTACTATTTTTTTTCTCTCGAAAAGATACTAGAACTACGCTCGGGAAAGTTTCAACGAATCATCAAAGCACACGTCGCTATCACAAGAGTGTATTCGACTATCAATGAGCTCGACTAGATTCCCGATGCGTGTCGCGGGGTCATTTACCCGGAATAATTGCACGCATATCCGTGAAGGACGCGATAAATCCTAAGGCAGCTAATATGCTTAATCCTTTTTTCTATATTATTTAATAAATAATATATCTTAAATTTTTTAAATAAAATTTATACGAATTTATTACTGATAAATTCCTAACAAAATCTGATTAAATTTTTCAGCGAAGAGAAGATGTTTTATGCTCGTCGCAGTTTTTCGGCCGAATTTCTTAATCGATTTAACGGCGCGCCGTCAGGTTTTATGCCACTCACGGTTTTAATTATTTCCACAATGTGCTGGGGTTAACGAGTGATCCGATCGCGCGTGCAAGAAAGACGCCTCGTTGTTCGGCTGTGCTGTTCCTGCTGTTCACGGTCACGTTTCTCGTCGGCACGGCGCACGCACACCCCGTTCGCCGATAATTTTATGGTGCGCGATTCTGCAGTCTGTAGACAAATAACAGAGCCCAACCGCGTCGTGCGGCTCGGACGCACCGCATCAACCGCGCGAGAGGTGCATTCACGGGATTTATCGTAGGAGGAGTAGGACGAGGGCAGGACTCTTCAGGTCCCAATAGAGCCGAAGAGATGGTTTCGTTCGTTCGCTCTCGCCTCGCCCGTCTCCCGCTCTTCCTCCCGACACACAACACACAGCCGCAAAATGCTCTCTCAGCCGCCTTCCTGCCATTGTGCCCGGCCACGTTACCAGATGTCGGATTCGCAATACTTTGCAAGCGCAACGCGTGTCATGTTGCACAAAGCAACGTTACTTAAAGGCGCGTCGACCGGCTAAGTCTCGAATTTAACGTTTGAATATAAAACACCCGGCTATAATGTAGAACTATAATAATTAATCAGAAAAAAAGAGAAAGAGAATTTCAAGTGTTGCCCAAAAATAATTTATAATATAATTAAAAATAGCGTGTCGCGTTACTTCAAATGTTGCGCCTTACTTCGTTACAAAATCGCTACGAAGAATCGAGACCAATCGTTGCGGAAAATCAGCACGGCTTGAGCGGCGGATTAACGATTTCGTTAGGTGGTAAAGAATTTAACAGAATGTCGATCAGACGTCTCTCGAAGCAGATTTCTTCGCCCGGCACGCGCGAGCACGCGAGTGATAGCCAAGAACGGCACACGGCGGCCATTGTTTAGTACGTGCGGCATTGCACTGCGGGCGGTTTCACAATCAAGCGTGGAATCATGACGACATTATATTCATAAGACCGCGGCGACTCGCGCGAAAGTGCATACATATTCCCGCGGTGTCGACGACGCGGGAAAGAAGAATCGTCACGTCCACGGTTTATTATTGGTTAGTCGAACTTTTAATCAATTTTAGATAGATCGTAGATAAACCCGAAGGATACCTTAAACTCTCTAGATTGAGAGAATGTTGATAAACAATTGCTTGTTAAATTTGCGCCTTTCACGCCCACAACTGCGTTATGTTGCGAAAGAATTGTGAATAGGATAATAACTCCTAAATTCTTACGTGCAATTGTTTAATATCAATAATTTGCAATTCTATTCACACAATGAATAGCTATTATATTCATACAATTAAATGATTAAAAATTTATAATACGTAAAAAAATATTTCTATCTGAAAAGTTATCTGAAAAAGATACGTAATATACAATAAAAGATTAATCTAAATTTAGAATTCAGATTTTATATTGTAGATTTGCGAAATATAGATGAAAGTCTTCTAATGACCGCTAAGAATGCCAAAAAAGTGACTAATGAGCTAACACTCTAATTTCACAAGGTGCTAATGACCGTTTAATAGTTTCACAAAACGGGTTTAAATGAAACTAAAGTGAAGCTACCTCTAATTTGCAAGAAAAATGGTCGGTTTCAATTTGCATTCCGCGACGAGCGCTCGCTGATGGTTCATCCCATTTCCACGAATAATCACCTTAACAATCGACCGTTGCTGCGAACCGAGCAGAAAACGAATAGCAGAAATGAGAAAAGAAAAGAGAAAATAGAATTTCAGAAGATTAACAGAGTTATAGTTCTTAAATCACCATAATTAATTGCGTTTTCTCAACTACGCCATTTAAGTTTAATATTAAAAAATAAATCGAAATCGATAGAACGCGAGAATTTAATTGATCGTGACACGCGCGAAGAGAAAACAATGTTGCAGTTTCTAATTATTGTAATTGCAAGTATTCAAGCGATACTACCCATGTGGGAATTTTATACATTAGACTAGTATTAGATACTGGCAAGATACAGATCCAGTACCGAAAAACGAGTTTTACGTTTCGGTACTGGCATAGTACAAAACCAGTATTAAAATAACAATGGTTTAGTACTAACCCATTATCTAAATCAGTATTGAATAATGGTACTGAAATGGTATACTGCCGGTAAATTTACGGTACTGTATCTGTACAAAAATTAGTAAAAGAAAATGTCAAAATGTCAAGTACCGAGACGGTATACTGCCGGTAAATTCAAGGTACTGTGCCCGTACTGGAATTGGCAAAAGAAGAGCGTTGAATGCCAGTACCGAAATGGTACAATGCCGGTAAATTTTTTAGCACTAAAATTGGCAAAAGAAGAACATCGAATACTTAGTATACATCATAGGAGGCAGTGTCAAAGAGTATAACCGTTGTATATTTTAATGTGACAGAAAGTGAAACTATATTCTAGTCCATTGCGTTATCAACAAAACGGATAAACTTAGTAAAAAAAAATTATATTTCTTTACGAAAAAGGAGAACCTTGAATAATTGGCCGAGAAACGGAGTAATAACAGTTATTGTGAGTGATAATTTTGTTATTTATTATTTTTACTAGTTGTCAAATTCTCTCTTTTTTTTGTATTATGGAAAATAATTTTTTAATTGCAATTATATCAATTTCATAACTCATAATTACAGCTATATCCAGTGGTAAACATTGAATAGAAAATGCTGAAAAAAAAGTACTTTTACACCAAAAAATATCAAGATTTAAAGAAACTAAAGACTATATCATCATCATCGTTATTATCAAGATGAAATGAATCCAGTTTCTGCTTTAAAACAGATTATTGAACTTACATTACCAATATCTATATTAGATGATTTTAATATTTTGGATGCTTTAATGGACGTTGAGGTCTTGGTAATTAATTTTTTTAGATTGTTTTAATATTTTATTTAATAAATAAAATATTTATATTAATTATTAATTGATATATTTATAATGTAATAATTTATTTTATATGTGTATAATAAATAATTCTAATAATAATACTGTAATTTAATTTAATTATCGCACACAAAATTGATACTAATTATTGGAAATTGATACTGATCTTAAATATTGTTACAGTATTGAGAATCAGTATTGATTTTTGATACTATAATAGTATTTGAAAACAGAACAGATATTTAATACTGTTACTGTATTGGGGATTGGTATTGATTTTTTGTACTGTTATGTTGAGAATCGGTACTGATTTAATACCGTAACAATAATGGAAATCGGTACCGTAACAATAATGGAAATCGGTACTGCAGCAATACTGGAATTCTGTACCAAAGTAGTACTGTAATTCGAGTCTTGGCCCAATTCTATCATCCCAGTATTTCTCCAGTATCACATCAGTACTGGCATCTAGTAACGCGCCAATACTCAGTACCAGAAATCGGTACTGGGCCATTATCTCGCCGGTAGTCATTTCCCACATGGGAAGCCTTTACCTTGAGCGCCAATGATTATTCTTAATTTTTATTGAAAGCAGATCATATAGCATAATATTATTTTTATATCTTTTATAATTATAATTATAATGTATGTAATTAGAAAGTTATTTATTAAAAAGAATAATACAAAAAGTAATAATATAATATTATTACTTTATATATTCATTAAAAGTGAAATTTCCGCTAATTATGTTATATTATTACTTTTTTTAATAAATAACTTTTTCTTATAAGATTCAGTATGCATAAAGTTTTACTTTTATAAAATTTTGATCGGAAGTTACATGTTCCTAAATTTGTAACAGATAATAGTTCTACACTTCTAAAATGTGTATTGTCGTCTAGACGAAATTTCACAATTGTCTTGTGCAAAACCGGATGAACTTCGCTGCTGAAAACACAACGTTTAGCGCTCGCGTAACAAACTGCCGAGTAAAAGTACCTATCTGCTCTGCAACACGATGACAATTCGTTGCCTAAAAATTAACAATGAAATATTGCGAGTGCAAAAAGAGAGAGAAAGAGATCGTCTATGTAACGATGACAATAAATAATCATTGCGCGATGTGCGGCGCAATCCTTATCGGTTTATCGCTATTTTGACAGACGATTCGCCAATCGCGAGGGAACTCCCAGTTCTTTATAGCTTGTATCGTCGCTAATAAATACTAGTCGCAATTTCTACTTGACATTTATTGAATCGCCGATTAAAACAATCCACTGAAATTACCTTTGTAAGAGAAGTCGAATAATTTATAAATACTACAAAGGAGAATAAATGAAAAAATTGTTTGCATTTACTAAATTGCATAAGTAGAACGTAAAAACCGTTTACGTAATATAGAAAAGAATTTAATGTAGCTTGTCTAGATGCAGGTACCTTAAACAGCTTGTAATAGTTGCACAAGCTTAAGTGCACATCGCGGTCGTCCACTCGTGATTGTGAAATTTACATATCGTAATGAGCGATTTTTCGAAAAGGGAGAGACAATGTCGCACGGATCAGCTACGGCGAACCAATGCAGCGGACATATCGATGTCTTACAACGTGTAATACGTACAACACCGCACTTATCTGCCGAGACGACAAAGTGCACTTACGAGAAAGACCACCTATGCTTTACAATCTAGGGCCCCCTCGTTAATCCGCCGTCGCCGGAGGACCATCAGATCGTGCCTTACGCTTTTACGGTACCGGGGTCGATGCACGCGTATCGTCGAGGCGTGTCGAAGCTTAGTCGGAGAAGGCGCGGCGAAACAATCGGTAAAGATCATTAAAGTGTGGAAGGAAATATCAAAAATTTGTGTTTTGCCGCGACGCGAGATAAATAAGTATTGCGCAATATCAACTGTGTAATATGGCTTCATTTTAATTTTGCTCAATTGGCTTAAGAATATTCAACAATATTCAAATATATCAAACGTCAAATAATTAAAAATCCTTATAGAATATTGTGCAAAAATTATTTCAGATGGCAAATAAAATTTAAATCTCTAGTGACTTTAAAAATCATACATCATTGATGCAATTAGCTCACCATTCCCAAATTTTCCAAAACTTCGCATTTATATCGATAATCGCATCGATCGCTAAGCGCGTCGAACACAAAGGACACAATGCAATGCTCTTCTAACAGAATCTCCCTCTTATCTCGATTAAGAGTCTGAGCGTCGCGTATTTCATAGCGCTCGCCGCGACGCGTGATAAGAGGCTGCAATAGAAGTAGACCACCTATGCGCGACGATACCGAGACCTCTTGTTACGCGGCCCGACGCCGCGGGACGATCTGATGCCGGCCGACGTCCACTTCCTGCGCAACAACGAGACGTTCACGTTTAACCACCCGCACCCCTCGGCTGCTCCTCCCGGCGTCTCTTCCCTCCAATCTTCTCCTCGACACTTTTGCGAGCTCTTGCCTCCGCCGCCATCTCCTCGCGATCCGCGGTGCGTCGGCACGTTGCAGCGCGATCTGTAGGTGACTCCGTAATCTCGTGTTTCATATTTATATTCTCATCTGCATATTACGAGCGGGGTGTGTCTTAAAAGGTGGCAGCGGCTGCGACTAGTTCCCGGACGCTTCGACGGCTGGAATGCGCTGGATTAGAATGCCGGCAGCGACGGCGGTCGCATACCTGCCTTCCGTTCGTACGGTGAGATCCGTGTTTTTTTCCCCGCACTGTGACAGCGATCTCTCAAAATCCGCGAGAAATCCTGTTTCGGAATGACAGGAACACACGCCGCACCGCGGGTGTGCGAATCCGACAAAGCGGAATGAAAAAATCTACCAGACTTCGTGAAGATTTCTGACAGATGTTGAACACTGACAATACTAAGCTACGGCGTCTTAACATGCTATTTATTAAGCTTTGATTAAACTCCTTCTTCAAACTCGCCGCTTATTAATTTTTTTAGCCCTCTGTTATATTTTCATACTTATTTCAATTTTGATCCTTGAGTTTTTATTTAAAATTCTCAAATTCGATAGTTTCTGCATCCAGTTTCTTTAAATAAGAAATTTATCTCGTGACATCATAATACCGAGGAAAACTCTTGCTCATCCCACAGAACTGCTTCATCGACTTGCTCGTGTCGTATATTTTAGATTACCTTATCACGCGTTACACAAGTACATATTTCATATTAATATCTTGCTGCTATATATTATGCGAGAGCATTATATAGAGCTTACGTTCGCCATGTATTAGAATTTAGTCTTAACACGAAGATAACTTGTCGCCGGTAGAGTGCGGAGTAAATCTCTAAGCGGACGTTGCAGAAAATTATGGACCCGCACATCAAGCATATATATCATATATTTTTTTGTAAAAATCTTATTTGGTAGCGAACGGGCAAAAGCGTCCGATCTTATGCATTCGTTTGCGATTCTCGTGCGACGATCATTATCGCTCAAATAAACTCCATTTCTTCGTCCCGCCAATTCCGACCGTAGGCGTGCATTAGAATTAACCCGTTTGCCATCGCTATCGTAAAATAGCATGGCGTTTCCAATTAATAGACACTAAAGAGAGACGTTTCGTGCCGCTGTCGTGCAACACGATAAATCTCGGTCGAATACCGCGGCTGGAAGGGAAACGCGCACACAGTCATCAAGAATCCGCGCTCGCCATGCCCGATACTTGCGTGCCTGATTAACGCAGCGTGTAATTACATCGCGATTTATCGTGACGATTGCCACCGCATCTCCGCTGCTTTAACCCTTACCTGGGCAACCTATTTTCCAAACGCAAACAAACAACGTTCTCTTTTTCTAAGGGACTTGTTTCATACCATAAATAATATATAAGTAAACACCAAGAGATCGAAATAGAATCTTACAAAACTAGAAATTTATATACTATTAGGATTAAATTTCGATTAAAGTTTAGAAAAAAATTAGAAATATATTAAAAATTAAATTTAAACTAAACATTGCAAAAAATTGCAAAATCAAGAAAAAGAAGAAAGTCAGATTAATATAAATTAGAAAAGTCTAATACACGTGCGAATATTTCAGGATTTTGTAATATCGACAATTACGCAGTCCAATTTTCTACGCAGCAATAGCTTTAGATAGTTTTGTAACTTCGGCGATCAAGTTCAATTTTCTATGGAATGAAAAAATGTAATCGAATTTCGCGAGAGAGGTACAGTTGCATTTCTCGACGTATGCGGCCTCCCTTCCGCGCTTAAGAAATTTCTATGCAAAAACGTCGATCGAATCCACCGCTGACGCAACGTGTAGTTTCTAGAGAGAGAAAGACGGAGAAGGAGAATGAGTGAGATGCGGAGCGAGATTGCCTGGAAGAATTATAAGAATATCAGCGAACGCGCGCACGACCATTGCATAGACCACAGTTATTTTTCTGGCGGACTCGTTGGGCCGGAATGAAACGTTAGCTTCTCCCGAGCGACCGACGGCCGAGCTGATAGGTATAGTGTTACTAGAGAGACGCACTCTGTAAAATGCCGCAAAAATATTCACCATTGAAAAGAATCTCCGCAACGGGCACGGCAACTCGCTCTTCGAAAAAGGAATTGCGGCTCGCCGGCGTGCTGCTTCTGCTCGTAACTTAAGCCTTAGCCGGCGACGTACGGGAGTTTGCGATTCTCGAGGAGATGCGTGATATCCCCATTCGCTACGTTTTAATTTATCCGAACGCGCAGTATCATCTTTAGAACATTAAAAATTGTCGTAGTAATCTAAAATTATATCTTTTTCTATTCAGATTTTACACTTATAGCTAGATATTTCTCACTTTATAACAATCAATTATAACTACAATGTTTTTAAATTTTAATTTGTCAAATAAAATATGTCATTAATATATTAAAAAATTTATAAAATGTTTTGTAAATTTTTCTCATTAAAATTATTTCAAAAATTCCGTTAAATGCCCTACAATCTACTTTCGCTGATTTTATCAAATAATTGCCTCAAGCGTTAGAAAGGTGTATGAACGTTAAACAGCTTTTGGGAATGTCTTCCTTTCGCCACCTGAAGAAAATATGTGACGTGAATGTACTTGCGATAGTCTACGACAGTTTGATTGTTCTGGAAGTGAAAGATTGGAGGAAAGGATTGTCCCAATGTAATTTGAGTATCGTCTCATTTCCTCCTTTCGACCCTTCTCGCGCGCATTGTCGTCGGCAGAAATTTCTCTCTCATTATTTCCGAAAAGACCGTAATTACGCAAGGAATCCTCGACAAGAAAAGATCAAGAGACGCTGATTGTCATCTTGCAGATTGGCCTCTAATACCCGACTGTCGATTCGCCGAAAGTGAGCGTGACATTTCTCCTCTAGAGAAAAAATAACGAATAGAACAAAGTACGAACATTTCATGTACCGGGGCTTAGACTTGCTCACAAATTTAGAATGTATAATATATAATCTCTATAATTTTATATAATATAAATAAACACACACGCAAATAATAAAACAGACTGCTGATCCAGTAACTTAATCAAATAATCA